CCTAGGGGCAGGAACCCATTTACTTGGGCCATCACCTGCTGCCTCCCAGGCTGTGCACTAGCAGAAGGTGGAGTTGGGAGTGAAGCCAGGACTCCCACTTAGGCTCTCCACTGTGGGATACGGGCATTCCAAGTATGCATTCTTCCAGGCTGGGCGTTGCCCCTTTGCATGCATGCGTGCTGGGGTTGCCTAAGGAGCGCCACTGGTTTCATTTTGCCTTCTATCTTTTCCCTTGGTACTATGGGCTTTAGGTGCTGTATCTAGGGTGGCTCTGTGTTCTTGTAGCGTGAGGTCTTGAGGTTCCATCCATCTGATCCCATTCCCTATTCTGCCCAGGTAAGGCTGTCCTCCCAATGGCAGACTCCCACACTGTCTTGCGCCTGTGCCTCGTGAGGGTCATTGCTGGGAACACCCTCAGTAGGCCTTGTAAGAATTTCTAGGGACTCTACAAACTGCGGCAGAGTGGCTGGCTGTAGGGTTGTGTGTCACCAACGGGACACGTGAGTACTACGGCGGTTTTCTAACGGCATATTCTGATCCATGGCAGCAGCCATGCCAAAGGGCACATTCTCTCTTCCTACCCCAGCCTGGCATCAGCAAGAAGGTGAAGACACAGCCCCTGCTCGTGGAGACAGGGTGACTCGTTTCCTCGCTGCACCCCAGGGAGGGTCCTCTGTGGACCCGGGTTTTCTGGCTGGCACTCGAATCAGCGCCATACCATGTGGGACGCAGGCCTTGCATGCAGTGGTTTAACCAGCTGTACCACAGCACTGGCCCCGCACTTACCAGGTATCTAAGGCTCATCTGTGCTGGAGCACACATCAGTCCTTTATCCCTTTTCATGGCTCAGTGTGGATGCATTGCTTCATCTGTTGATGCTCTCAGGAAGGCTGAACTGTGCTGGACACCGATAGAGCACCACGCGTATGTGTCTGCGTTTCCTGACGTGACCCAGGCAGTGTTTCAGGAAGATCTCTATCAAGGTTGTATCTCTGGGGAGGCAGAGAATGGAGGGTGACAGTGTTTGGAGCTTGATCCTACTAGATAGGAGAGCAAAGTTAAGATCACCTAGGGAATCTTTCCAAAAGCAAACCTGATCCCTTCTCATTCTTCCTCTCTTCTCTCTCTCTCCAACTCTGACTGCAAACCCATAAAGCCGCAGGCTTTCCAGAGCAGAGCTCACCCTGGAGTTGAGAGCACTGGCTGGCTTCAGCCTGGTCTCATATTTCTCCTGCTAGCTCTGTCAAAAATCAGCCAACCGCACTCCTTCCTGGAATGGGGATGGCTGATAATTGCCTTCTGGGCTGTTGTTAATGAAAGGAATGATTTACTTATCCTTGTTAGTAATCGCCCACCTAGCACAAAGACCTATTATGGCATTGACGTGGCTGGCAGGAACGCCCTGCCGAGGCACCTGTGAGCCAGTCTCACAATTAGCTCTCGGCTCAGCATGCTCCCGGAAGGGAAAGCAGCCAGCTCTGGCCACCGGGGGCACTCTGTCCCTTGTGGGGTCTCCACAGTGCCCCAGGAGCCAGGAGCATCCAGGGGCAAACCAAGACATGAGGTCAGGGCTGCGCTCCCTGCTTGCAGTGCTGACCCATAAATCCCAGGGCTGTGGCTTCCCAGCATCTGGGAAGAACACAAGGGCTGGCAGTGACACGCATCGTGTCTATTTTACTGGGAGAATCCCAGCTGATTGGCAGTCGGAGCAGCCCTAAATCCCCTCTCTGAGTAGGTTTTCCCCTTCCCAAAGATTCTTGTGCCCATAATGCCAGCTCCTCATTGCTGCTGCATCTTTTCCCTCCGCGGTAGTGGCTGCCTTGCACTGCTCCATCATCTCCTGCTGGCCCAGTCTTTCTCTCTTGCTCATTCGTGCTGCTCCAGGAGCAAGCAAATAGACAGCAGTGGGTATGTTTGGATCAAGATCATTGGAGATGTACATCAAGAAAATTGCTTGGAGAACATTGTGTTGAACACTCCCATGGATGTGCACACACACACACTTGCACACACACATTTTCTCTTTGGTAAGATTCTATTTGGGAGTAAGTGCCTCTGGTCGAGAATTAGTCCCCAGTGAGCTATAACTTAAAGGCTTCAGCCTTGTGTGTGGTGAGGCGGCTCTTGGGGAATCAGCAGAACCAACTGAGCAGACAAGAGAGTCCTCAGGGGTCTGGTGGTGGAGGCTGCATGCAGAATGAGGGCTGGTCTCACCTGGCTTCTCCCCGTCCACCTGCTCAGACTGTGCAGTTGAGACAAGCCATGTCATCCACAGCAGTACCAATATACTTAGTAGATGCACAGAACTGCTCCTAGACATAGACATAGGTGTTTAGTTGTTCTCGCAGCACTGCATGTCACTCCCCCCAAACGTTGAGCCAACTTGCAACAATAAGAATGAAGCAAAAGGCTAAACTAAACAAGGTGAGAGGCTCACGGTGTGTGAATGCGATGGATTCCACAGGAGATCAGCACCGGGAAGTCTCTGTGTTGTGGCCCAGAGTCTGCACATACAACCCCGAGAGGGATCGTCCAGTGAGGAAGATGTCCCCCGGACGCGGACAGGCCATCCGCGTGGCTCAGCCAGGTGCCTTGAGAGCACGGCTCCTGTGCGTGCTGAGTCCAGGGCTACATGAGCACCAGCTGGGGACAGAGTAGGTGGCCCCATCAGCCAGCTTGGGTTGCACTGTCTCCCAGGGGCTTTTTCAATGCTTTGTAAAATGCAGTAGTACTCTTCTGTGCCAATAAAATCTTGTGCCATCTCAGAAAAAGATAATAAGGGGAACAGAAAGAGGGAGAGGGCGGGGTAGTGGGAAGGGTGAGGAAGAGAGGGGGGGGGGAACTTTGGTTCAAATGATTGACTGTGTGATGTGACCACTTTCCCAGGGCCCCTCTGTCCCCACACAGGTACTGCTGAGGCATCTCTGGGCTGATCTAGGTGAATGGATGGACACAGGCAGGAGAGAGGATGGCGGGTAGGGGAGGGAGGGAAGAGAGGAGGAGGGGAGGAGGGAGGGAAGAGAGGAACAGAAGGTGGCTTGGTTTTTATTACTCCCTGCACGGGATTATTGTGAGACCCACTGGGAAAATTTATATTTCTGATCTGAGGGGCTTCCTCTTCTTCTCTTCCTGTTCGTCAAGACCACCCTTTGGTTCTTTCTTTCCCAGTAGAACAAGTCGTGGTGCACTAAGAGACCAAAGAGACAGCATGGTTAAACACATGGGCTTTGAAGCCAGGGCCTGTATGTCTTTGCTGTGTGCTACTGGGCAAGTTACTCAACCCCTCTGTGCCTCCTTCTCCTCATCAGTAAAAGAAGGTGTCTGCAGTGTGGGCTCCATGGTGTTGATGTGGGGACCCATGCACGAATGTGTATCTGGCAGTTAGGATGGAGTTTGGCACAGGACTGATGTGAGAGATTTCCTAAGCATTCGCTGTCATGTTAAGGGTCTGTATATGTGCATGGCTCCTTGCGGTGGCAGTTTCTGCCCATACAGCCTCCAGCCCTCTGCATCCTGCCAGGCCTGGGGGCGGAGGCGGGGTGGTGGGGTTGGCAGGTGACTGAGGACTGCAGCCAGGGCTCTGGGAGTGGGTATAGCAGGTTGAGCAGGGAGCGGGTCAGAAGTCTGTACACCTTGTATTGCTGGGGACAGATGGAATCCATGGGGACATCTAGTCAGCATTTCATGTCACGGTTCTGGGATGTGGATGGACCGGCTCCTCCCTCCTCCCAAGGGCACTTCCTGGAGGGGCCTGCAGGCTCCAGCAGGCTGCATGTTTGCTCATAACTCAGTCCCATTCTCTTGAACAGACTTGCTGTCTGGGGGCTCTGGTCCTATACAGGGGATTTCCCAGGGGTCTCCTCTAACAACAGCGGGGTGCCAACGCATGCAGGAGGTTGGTTCAACAAAGACACAAGACCAGGGCAGCCAGATGAGCAATGGCCCAAAAACCTTTCGTTGGGTTGCGTGTGTCCCTTGCACATCACCGCGGGGGTTGTCCTGATGGTTCCCCCGGTCTGTTCGTTACAGTGCGTGTTCACTTTCTGCCAGGAGCCCATGATTTCTCTGGACCAAAGCGGCAGGGAGGCTTGCTGGGTCAGGAGCAGGCAGGCTGTTTGAGCAGGAGGTGGAGAAGGAGGCATGGGCCTGCCAGAGAAGAGACAGGGGCATGTGTGTGCTGGGGCGGCCAGGAGACCCGCTGGGCAGAAGTGGCAGAGGCAGCACGTGGGCCCTGCCCGGGAAGGCTCTGGCCAGAGCGAGGGCCACCAGCAGAATCAGTCTGACTCAATTAGAACGGAATAGGCAGTGACTTCCACGGCGGGGGTGTGGCACAAGGACTTCCTCCTACTTGGAGCCCAGCTGGGACTCTTCCCCAGCTGGTGTCAAGGGCAGGGGCAGGGGGAGGGTGGGCAGCAGTACCTGCGCAAGCAAACATACACCCAAGTGAGCCGGTGGGGGTGGCCGACACTGTTTTCCCCAGAGCCTCGCGTCCTTGGTTCTTCCAGTCGTTCTGTGCTCTTGGTGGCCGGCAGGGATGGTACAGGGTTTGCAGAGAGACAGGAACGCTTGCAACCTTCCCGAAGGCTGCAGTGCGCAGCCCGGTGCTAGGAGCAGCCCGCCAGTCACCACACACGGACGGAGTACCCGAGCGCAGGCTGCTGGTTTCTGAACTTGGTTCTTTTTCTTGCATCTTGTAAAGAGCGAGAAGGGGTGTCCCTGAGAGACACCCTTCTCACGAGGTGCAGGTTGGTGGAGGAGGGATAGGGAGAAGGAGCCTGCCTGAGACTGGGATTCCTAAGATCCAGTGGCCTGCTGATGAGTGGAAAGACAGGGGGAGGGGAGGATGTAGCAGGCCAGGAAAGACAGAGCGCTCCATCCTTAGCTGTGATGGAGAGAGGGACACAGGGACAGCCCGAGAGGCAGGGAGTAGCCTCCTCCCCTGGTGGAGGGCCTGCAGGTGCCGGCTTGTCTGATGGGAGTGCTTTTGCTAAGAACTGAGCATGGAGCTGAGGGGTCAGGGAACACTCAGAGGAAGGGGTTGTTTGCCTCCCCTGGTCCTGGCCTCCCCTGAGTTTGTCGCCTCCCGTTCCGGAGTTGCTGTCCAGTGTCCCCCAAGTGCCTCCTGTTGGCCGGGAGAATGGCCGGGTGCCCAGCTAGGGTGAGGATGTCGGGTTCTGCTCTCGGTCCTCAGTAAGCAGGAGCACACACATGTGTGTACGTATGAGTGTGAGTAGGTGTGAGTGTGTGTGCAGTGCCTGGGACTGGGGCTGGGGCTCACGGCCAGGGCAGAGCACACAGGAAGGAGGAGAGAGCTTCCTGGAGGGTGGGGCCACCTGGGTCCTGCCCTACACCCGGGAGCACGGAAGACCCTGTGCCCAGAGTCGCCGCCCGCCTGCAGCATCCCAAGGGTGCCAGAGCAGCTGCAGCCCCTGAGCAGAGGAGCCCAGGAGAAGCAAGGAGTAAGTCCAGCTCGGCGGGGCTGTGGGTGGCCGGGCCCTGTGAGAGACGGGAGAAGCCAGGGCAGGCAGCCGAGTGCTGCAGGAGATGGGGATGGGAGACGTTTGTGCCTCTCTTGAAGGCTCTGCAGGACAGGGGCCGTTGCCGGGGCTGCAAATCCAAGTGCAGCAGGGAGGGATGAGGGCTTCATGGACATGGAGCCTCCGCAGAGGAGCTTGGAGGGGGGTGGCTGGAAGGGGAGGTATAGGCAGTGGTCCTGTGGGGTAGACTGAGGCAGCCAGCTCTCATAGCCCATTGGACCGCTATGCCTTGAACGGGGGTGGGGTAGTCGGGAGTGGGGGGGGTGGTTTGCACAAGATGCTAATCCTGCTTCTACTCACAGGGGCTCCCAGTGGCCAGCTTTTCCTAGAAGAGCCTTGGAGTGACTGCGATCAAGCCTTAGATGTTGGAGGTAGGAGGTGGTGTTACCATCTAACGGGGCTTTCAATTGCCCACTCGGGCCCGACTTCTTGAGGACCAAGGATGGGGACAAGCAAGCCTTGGCGTGAGCTCTGGGGTGCTTGGGGCACCGGGACAAGGGGAGCAGCTTGGCTGTCACCTCTCGTCTTTGCTTCTGTAGAGCGAGGATGCATTCCTGGTTCCTGGTCCACTTCCTCTCCGTGTTGGCCTCATCGCCGACTTCTCCCTTCCCCCAGTGCCGGTGGATCCTCGTGTCGTGTCCCGACGAGACCTTCTGGGGCTGGCAGGATCTCTCATGTCTAGACCCAGGCCTGGTGGTTCTCTCAGGGTATGTGTTCCATGACGGCAGGTGGCTGAGGGCTCCCCGGAGAGTTCTCGAGTCACCTCTGTTGGGGGGAGGGGAAGGTGCCCAAGGGATAAATCGTGATTTTGCTTTGCAGGAAGCTGAAAGGGGTTGGAGGGAGAGCTCGAAAAGCCCACCAGGAGCTGAGACTGCATCACCCCTGTCTGCTCACTTCCTGTTACCAACTTCCACTTTCCACTTCCTTAATGGAAGAGTTGAGGACTATAGAGAGCATGCGTGTAATACATCATCCCTCCCATCTAAAAGAGCCCCTCCCCCACACCCCATCTCCTCGCCTTCCCAGGCTCTGTCGACGCCTGCCCAGTTTTCCAGTCTCCTAAACCTGTCGCTCTTTCCAGAATCTTGCAGTCACTCAACACATGTGCATTGAGTAGGTACTTTGTGCTAGGTCATGCTGGATCCTGCAGAACCTCTGCTGGATAAGGTGTACCTGCCCTCAGGGAGCTCATGGGCAGGGAGGGGAGACAGCTGTGGGAATGGGTGTTTACAAGGACTGAGGACTGGATGAGAGAAGGGGTGTGCCACGCACAGGCAGGAGGGCCAGCAGGGGCCAGGGCAGAGGGGAAGCTCTCAGAGGAGGTGGTGTAACTGAAGCTGGTGTTTCACATGCTTTGCTGCCCGAGGCACACTTTGAGGATCACTGATATTTAAGACATCTCAGGCCGGCGCCGCGGCTCACTAGGCTAATCCTCCGCCTAGCAGCGCCGGCACACCGGGTTCTAGTCCCGGTCGGAATGCCGGATTCTGTCCCGGTTGCCCCTCTTCCAGGCCAGCTCTCTGCTGTGGCCAGGGAATGCAGTGGAGGATGGCCCAAGTGCTTGGGCCCTGTACCCCATGGAAGACCAGGAGAAGCACCTGGCTCCTGCCTTTGGATAGGTGCGGTGTGCCGGCCACAGCGCGGCCATTGGAGGGTGAACCAACGGCAAAGGAAGACTTTCTCTCTGTCTCTCTCTCACTGTCCACTCTGCCTGTCAAAAAAATAAATAAAAATTAAAAAAAAAAAAGACATCTCCGTCAGAGGCATGGAGGCAGAGGGCAGAGCAGAATCTGACCCAGGTGTCCTGCCCTCTGCCCCTTGGTGACCTGGCAGGAAACAGCCCAGCAGTGCAGCTCGGGGTAGCAGGTCCCGGCTGCCATGCCTCCTTCACCTCCCCCCACCCCTTCCTTTACCATTGCTCTTCCTCAGCCCATTGTCTACACCATGGATGGAAGATCCACCCAAGACGCCCCATGGGTTGGGGATCCTTGAATGGCTCAACCCTTGTCCTATCCCCTCGGGCCTCTGCCACCCTCTCCAGCCTCAGCTCTACCCCCTGCCTCCCCGTTGCCTGTTGCACACCCAGACTCCACACAGCCGGTTGGCCAGACCTCCTTGGGCTGTGTGACTTTTCCTGCCAGTGCAGTCTCCTGGGGTCCCCTGAGCAATTCTTGCACATCCCTTAGATTCAGGTCAGTTGCCAGATCTTGGGAAGCCTCCCCACTTACCCTTCGGCCAGGTTCCTGCTTCCCCTTCCCGTCTCGGGGGTGGGATGGAGCCGGCTCCACCAGCTTGAGCACCAGTTGTGTGCATCTCTCTCCAGCTCTGTGTTCAGTGACTTCATGGTAAGGAGATGGAAGTCAGCCGTGGTGGGAATCTTTACACCGTGGAGATTGGTGGGAGTGGGCACTTGGCCTCCCAGTTAAGGTGCTGGCGGGGGGTCCCGTGGCTGAATGCCTGGGATCCATCCCCGGCTCCTGACTCCAGCTTTCTGCTAATGCAGCGATGACCCAAGTGATTGGGTCCCTGCCACACACATGGGAGGCCTGCATTGAGTTTCTAGCTCCTGATTTTGGCCTAGCCCAGCCCTGGCTGTTGTGGGCTTTTGGAGAGTGAACCAACAGACAGAAGAGCTCTATCTTTCTGTCTGTCTTTCTACTTCTCAAATTAAAAAAGATGATGAAGAAGCAGCAGCAGCAGCAGCAAAGAAAGAAACTGACTCAAACCCTAAAGCAGCTCTCCCTCTCACATCTTGAGAGCCTGCTGAGTACCCGGCCACACAGCCCTCGCTGCGTCTTTCCCTACCTGTGTCCTGAGTTGTGTGCTTGTCGCTTTTTCTCAAAACTGTGAATGCTTCAAAGCAGGGCCCCATGTCTTATCTTTTTAACTCAGGCCCAGCAGAATGTATGATACTGGTAGTACTTCAAAAAGTATGTAGAAAGGTCGAATTAAAAGATAAGTTCATTTTGGTACAAAAAAAAATGTTGAAATCCATGCCTGCCTGGGGTCTCCAAGAAATTAATGAAAAATGCATATTCTGCAAACCTGTGTTTCCACATCTTAGTCAGCAAAATAAACTCATCTTTTAATTCCATTTTTCCATGAACTTGTTGAAGTACCTCTGTACAATTAGGAGACATGAAACAGGAGTACCCAACACCAATTCTAGGGGCCAAGTTGGCATAGCTTTTGTCCCCCAAGTCCCAGCACCCAACTCAGGGTCTCACCCAGAGCAGGCAGCCCGTGTAGGTTTCTCGTCTGTATCCGCTCACATCAAAGAGAGTTAGAGACCCAGAGCAGGCACCCTGTATGGGTTTCTCGTCTGTATCTGCTCACATTAGAGTTAGAGACCAACAAGTGGAGTGTAAGTCCCAGCTCCCGGTCCAGTGGGTCCGTGGAGCTAGTTTTCTTAGCAGGTTGTCACCAAGTGCAACTGGAGGGTGGAAAGGGGCAGAGGGAGGTGTCCAGAGAAAAGCAGACAATGGCCTCGCTGGCCTTTGGCTGGTGGGAGAGACTCCATGGCCTGGCCTTTTTTTCTCTCCTTATCCTTGCAGTTCATGGCTGCCTCACTTCCGGTGGGCCCCAGCTGCCAGTAGACTCCAGCCAGAGCGAGCTCAGGGCAAAGGGCAGGCAGGGAGTGGGAGTGCAGAGACGGGGCTTCTAATAAGGACTTGACACAACCAGAGCTGGACCAAGGCAGCATCAGGCCTGTATGAGAGGAGGCGGTGACCTGCTTGGTTAAGCACAGGCTTTGGAGACTGCATCTCAGCTCTCCCAGTCGCTTGCTGGGTGACCACCATGGGTGGTGACTGAACATTTCTGGACCTCAATTTTCTTATATATAAAATGGGAATAACGGGCCGGTGCTGTGGTGTAGCGGGTAAAGCCACCGCCTGCAGTGCCAGCATCCTGTATGGGCGCTGGTTCGAGTCCCGGCAGCTCCATTTCTGATCCAGCTCTCTGCTATGGCCTGGGAAAGCAGCAAAAGATGGCCTTAATCCTTGGGCCCCTGAACCCATGTGGGAGACCCAGAAGAAGCTCCTGGCTTCAGATCAACACAGCTCCAGCCGTTGCAGCCAGTTGGGAAGTGAGCCAGCAGATGGAAGACCTCTCTCTCTCTGCCTCTCTTTGTGTGACTCTTTCAAGTAAATAAATCAATCTTTTTAAAGAATAGGAATAACAGTTGCTGCTTTATAAAAAGAAACAGTTGAAAGAAGACTGAGATAGTTGATGAAGGAGAGTGTTTAGCAAGGAGGCTGGCACGCACAGGGAGGGCTGTCTCATTGTTGCTAGTCATTCTCTGTTTTGACTGGAAGCAGGATAAAAGACTTACCAAAACAAACAAACAAACAAACAAAAAACCCAAAAACCATAATAGAAATACCCCAAAGCCCCAAACTAAAAACCTATCTGAGGCCCGACCTGGCTCCAGACAGTGATTTGGATGCCGAGTGATGGGCCAGAGACTTGCCACTCAAAGTACAGTCCCAGTGGAGAGTTTGTTCCAAATGCAGAATCTCATGCTGCCCCCCTGCCCTGCTGGTTAACAACAAACCAGGTCCCCAGTGTGTTTGTCAGATTGCAAGGCTTTGGGCTGGAGCACACTCAGAGAGTCCTCCCAAAGTCACCCCAGTAGCTTCTCCCCTACGTTCCCTAGCAAACAGGCCTCCCTGCAGACAGGGAGGCACTGTAGGAGCAGGGAGCGAAGAGGATCCCTGCCAAGCTGCGTCCAGCCCCCGCCTGGGTGGTGAGCCCGTCCCCAGCACAGCCACAATCTGATTGAACTTCCGCCATCTGACCAGCAGATGGCGAGTGTGTGCTGAGGCTTCTCAAAGGCAGAAGAATTTCTTGACTTAGCAAGGCCACCACCCTCTTGGCTCCTATACAGAATCGCAACTGTGGGCCAGGTCTGGGGTGGTCTCTGCTGCCCCCAGTGAGAATACTTCCCTAAGGGTCCCTGTTGCCTGTTCTCTGAGTTTTCCCAGGCGGCCTCACCTGAGACCAACATCAGCATGAAGCCTTGGTCTCCTAGCTGGCCAAGAAAGTGTACTTAAGTCTCAGGTGAGTGAGCATCTCATGGCCACATGGCCACAGGCTCCCGCAGGTCCCTGTTCTTCGTCTATGCACCTGTGTTGAGTATGTGCTTGCTCCCATGAGCAATAGGTTCTCAGTTAAATTAAAGTGGGGAAAAAGAAAGAAAGAAAGAAAGAAAGAAAGAAAGAAAGAAAGAAAGAAAGAAAGAAAGAAAGAAAGAAAGAAAGAAGCTGGTATTTGGCAAGGGTCTTTAGACAGCCAAAGCCATCCCTATGCCTTAAGGAGGAGAAAAAATTCTGATTGTGAATACATAGGCTTGCCGGATCGAGTGGGGGCGAAGTCACGGTGCTGAGAATATTTCATGAAACAAGGGGGTTCTTTCCCGGCAGGCTTTTGCTAAAATCAAGTCTGAACAGAGAACACTCTGGAATTCGCCTCATAGTGGGTCTGTGTTCTGGGTTAGGTGTGCAACGCTGGATCCCAGGGCCTTAACGGGGGGAGAGGGGATATCGGAAAAAGCCCATCCTTGGGAGCCAGGTTCTTCAAGCCCACTTTAGCCGCTCATTAGTTGTTTGCCTTTGGGGGACTAATTAACATTTCTGTGTCTCAGTTTCCCCCACCTGTCAAATGGAAGTAATGGGATTAGAAACTGCGTATGATGAGCTGGGGCTCCAGCGGCTTCTGACACACAGGCAGTCCCTGGCACACAGCACGTACTTGACAGGTGTTTGCTGTCACTTCCCTGTAGTTTTGGTTCCTCCGTCAATAAAACAGGCAGAACCATTCTGTCCTTCTCAGGGGGCAGGTGAGGCCCCGGGGAAGAGACTGGAGGAAGAGGGTCCCTGGAGTCGATGCGGTCTCTTCTTCCTCTCCAGGTCTTCTTCAAATTATGGAAGAAGCCAGAGCAGCTCAGTGCCCGGCGTGTCTACCACCCCAGCATGGTGCTTGTCAGCTGGGCGTTGGACATGTGCCAGGGAGCAAGGTAAGGGATGCACCTGCACACAGCCCTGCCCCAGGCCCTTGTGAAAAAGGCCAAAGCCCCAGGCTGGGAGATGCATGGTCCCTGCAGTACGATGGCTTCTTCTCTGAGGCCAGATTCCCTGGGGCCTCGGGATCTGGCCTCTGCTGCTCCCCAGGGCTTCCTAGTTACCCTCCCTGGGAGGGGAGCAGGTGGTCACTGATGGCTTGAAGCCATCAGGCTAGAGAGTAGCCAGGGAGCCCTGAGCCCTCTCATTTGGCATCCTGTTAACCCCAAGGCTCCATCATGACTGTAGATGCCCTTCCAGTCCTCGGGATAAGACCTTCCCACGGATTTTCTCTGCAGGGTTTGCCCGGGGTTTGGAACACGGAAGAGAAAACCCAGACCACAGCAAGGACCTTCTCCACTGATTTTATCTTTTATCTCCCACAGCCCACTTGGGATGCGGAGTCTGTGGGCCGCACCCTCACGGAGCCGCATTGTGGACCGCCCAATGCGGGGCTTCACGTGTGACCCTGCCTGTAGTGGAAGCCACATCTTCCCACCCTGCAGCTGGTCAGAAGACCCCCTCAGCTCCAGAGGCCTAGGATAAGCTCTCAGTTCTACTCCTGGCTGCACCGGTGACTTGGGCTCTGCCCATGAACAAGCCCTTCTCACCCTTGCTTATCCTTTAGTTTCTAAGGTTCAAAAGTCTCACAGCCACCTGAGCAGATCCTGGAACCAACCTTAACTCACGGGCTCAGGCCTCCTCCCTACATCTGTAAAATGAAGGCCTCGTCTGGATGGTCTCTAAGCGCTCTCATCCTGTGGTTCCGTGATCTGTAACTGATCACAGGGACCAAGCGCCTTGTGGTCTGGGAAGCACCACTGCCTGGAGTGTCCCTGGCAGTGCCAATATGGCAGGGCTGCATGGGAGCACTTCCGGTCAGAAGTGCATTTGGGACCATGGGTTGGGAGATCCGTGGAGCTCATGTTTCACTAGGCTCCCTCAGTTTGCCTTTCTGAGTTGTAGGAGTCCTACTCTAGGCTGGTAGACAAAGGGCTAAGACAAGAGACACCAAGGAGAGCATCTCCCTCTCCCTTCTCCCTGCTTCTCCCCCTCCCCCTTGCTTCCCCTCCCCCTCTTCCCCACCCCTCTCCTTCCGTCTTCCCTCTCTCCTTCCTTCCTTCTTGCCTGCCTTCCTTCCTCCCTCCCTCCTCTCCCTTTCTTCCTCCCTCCCTCCCTTCCTTCCTTCTTCCTCTTCAGCACCACTTCTGACTGCCCTCTCCCTCTCTTACCTCCTGTGCTTATTTTCACCCAGGGTCTCTTTGAGGCCATGGCTGCCCACTCTCCCTACGATACCTCTTTGCTGAGTGCCTCTTTTCTGATGGGCACAGTGGTCTTCCTGCATACGCTCAGCTTCATCATCCTTTTTCTGAACTTCTGCCACCAGATAAACTTGAGAGGCAAGCTGGAGAAGCCAGCCCAAGGGGCAGGACCCAGGATTACAGCTTGCAGAGCTGTCCCTACAGAGTTGGGCAGATGGCAGAACCCTGCATTTCATCCTAAGAAGGGAGAAGGAGGGAGGAGGAGGAGGATGCCTCCTCTCCAGAGTTCAGGAGGAAAAACACAGACCCAGCTTCCTGGACTTATTTCTGTTTGTGCCTTTATCACACAAATTTGTCTTTGTGCATCTCTTTCTCTGGTAGAGGCAAACCTCTCATTGGAGGGACTGTCTTATTCCCAGTGCTCCCCACACCTGGCACAGTGTCTCAGTACACGTGCATTTGGGTCCAAGACTTCCAGTGGGAGTGCAAGAAGTCAAGACTGGCTTGATATCTAACCTCACAATGGGAAACCTGGAGACTACCCCAGAGTCACCATGAGTCTGTTTGACTTCCCGCAAGGTTGTGTAAATAGTTCCCCTGAATATCTTTTCTGTCTGCTCACTACTGCCTGCCTTTGTATTTATATAGTTGAATGCTTCTGTGTGCGTATGGGCAGAGGGAGAAAGAAGACGATGTGTCTGATTGCTTATTCTTGCAAATACACGTGCATGTTTCTATTTGTGTTTCTCTCTGTGGTGTTTGCTTGTCTCTTCTGTATATCTCTGGAAAATAAAAGCTACTGAGCTCAATGATTTGCTGATCCTAACAGAAGACACAGAATCACTGAAAAATTCCTGAATTCTGCTTGGAGCCCCCAAAGAGGGATAGGAAAGGAGGGAAGATGGGGTAAGATGGGTGTGGCCAATCTCCTCATGGACCCTGAAGCACAGCAAAGGAGACTATGTGGCTGAGAGCTTGCAGTCCAGCAAAACAAGCACCTGCTGAGCTGTTTTTTCCCTAGAACTGGGTGGGTTTCTGAACAGCTTGCCTGGGCGATCTCTCTCTCTCTTTCTCTCTCTTTCTCTCTCTCTCATTGTGCTTCTTTTTCATAGTTTCTGCCCTTAGCTCTTTTAAAGCCCTAGGTGATTTCTTGTTTTGCGATGCTCGGCAGTCAGGAAGGTGAAGGCACTGTGGAGGGCTGTCCGTGCATTTTGGGGAGTATCTACCCACTGGGCACTCTGGATAATCGACTCAAGTCCAGGCACGACTGCATCCTGCAGACAGAACCTCAGAGAAAAGTTCTTGTCAGTTGTACAGGATGTGAGCACATTCCACACACTTTCCAAGCACAGGTTGGGCACCTTATGAGGACGGGGGCGGGGGGGGGCACCTATTTTAAGACAATTTTATTTTAAACACAAAGGAGTATGGTCTGTTCTGCAGTGTAGCAGCCGGGACAGGGGAAAACTTAGTCATTCTAGAGTTCAGAGGTAATATCGGCCTGGTTCCACGTGGCTTCCTCTGCTTGGCTGAGCAGCGTAGGGGAAGGGGTAAACCTCGAGACACATCTGAATGAGCTGGGACTTGGGCTGGGGACAGCCTGCTGTGCGGCTTGTCAGCGAGGTGCTTTGGGGAAGTTCCACATTGCCACGACTTCTGAGTCAAAGGCTCTTTGTAAATGTTGCTTCTCAGTGCAGAGTGAAAAATCATAACATGGCCAAACTCCTCACTAGTGCTGTCACAGTTCACCCGGATGAACTGTTGAAGATCCTGGAAAGGAGGGCTGACCATATAGCACAGCGAGGCCAAGCCCTGGTCTAGACAGTGCCCGTTTCTCACGACAGGGAGGGCAGCCAAGGGAAGCTGCCATTGGCAGAAGGGAGGAGGCAGCCCCCTCTCTCACTGTGTCCCACAAGCGTCTCCCAGCTAGTTAGCGGTTTTGAAGATTCAAGCCCTCGCAGTGGTCAGGGTTTAAGATCTGTGTGTGAGAGTTTCAGGGAGTCAGCAAGGTGCTGCTTGCAGGGCCGTGTCGGGGGAGGAGGAGGGGAAAGAGGCCACGGAGACACAAGACCTTGACATTGAGGACCCAGGATTTTAGTGAGGGTGGGAAGGAAAGAATGAAGAGAAGAGTTGTTCTGAAAAGATCAGGGCTCGGTGGGCACCTGGTGCACGGGGTCGGGGGGCATTTCACTTTCTGTGCAGGACGTCCACATTCCATTTTGGAATGCTTGGTTCGAGTCCCGGCTTCGCTCCCAATCCCAGCTGTCTGCTACTGCACACCCTGGGAAGGAGCAGGTGATGACTCAGGCACAGGGGGTCCCTGCCACCCACATGAGAGACCTGCGCTGCGTTCCAGGCCCCTGGCTTTGGCTGGCTGTGTGGGCATTCGGGGGAGTGAACCTGCAGGTGGGAGATCGCTGTCTGTGTCTCTGCCTTTCAAGCAAAATACAAATAAATCTATCTTTGCAATGCCACCTGGAAGCATGCTAACGGTGGAGACCCCCTGAGTGGGGAGAGGCAGCCCTGGATTCTCAGCATTGGAGAGCCCAGGCCCTGCCCCTGCCCTCCCCCTGGCTGGGACGGGGACACTGCCCATCTTTGATCACTGCCTTTTCACAGACAGAACTCAACACACAAGGCTCTTTCGGCTCTAGAAACGTGAGGGCCTCTCAAAGATCTCACGGAAAAATGGAATTAAAAGATAATATGAATGGTCTATGAATTTTTGGAAGCCCCTTCGTACACATTCATGAAGCTGGAATAATAACATATGGTCACTAGAAACCCTTCTTTCAAAAATACCTACTAATTTAGCGAAGCAATGTTAAATAAGAATGTAGGAAAATCTGTTTTGAGGAGAACTATGTATAAAATGTCAACACAAAAATGTTAACAGTGACTGTCTCCAGATGATGAAATTGTGACTATTTTTATATTTTTTGTGTTTTTCCTGTTTACTACAATGCTTATTCTTTTTTTAATAATAAAACTACAGCATGATGAATTCAAGAGGTCTGGGGCATGCTATGTTTCTGAGAATTATTGAGCTATTGACTTGATCTGCTCATCTTGTCTTTATCAGTGGTGTGGATGATGCAGTTGGTCCTACTGTTGATAACACAGTTACTGAGGCCTTGCTGTCTCCGAGGCACTGAGCTGCTGTTAGAGAGCTGGGCGCAGACCAGCCTTGATTTTCATTATAAGGACCATGTGAAGACTTAAACAAGCATGTGAGAAGTCACACCTTGAGACCCAGCCATGGCTTCAGGGAAAAGTTAAAAGAAAGCCAGTGTTGGCCCAGTGTGGGCGCAGAAGAGGATTTTGAACAAAGATGGAAACTCAGGGTCAAAAAGTGAAAATGGTGCTGGCCACCATGACGACCTGATTCCAAGCTTCCCACAGTGACACCAGTCCTTGCTCTTTTTTTTTTAAATTTTATTTATTTATTTATTTATTTTTTTGACAGGCAGAGTGGGCAGTGAGAGAGAGAGACAGAGAGAAAGGTCTTCTTTTTGCCGTTGTTTCACCCTCCAATGGCCACCGTGGCCGGCGCGCTGTGGCCGGCGCATCACGCTGATCCGAAGCCAGGAGCCAGGTGCTTTTCCTGGTCTCCCATGGGGTGCAGGGCCCAAGGACTTGGGCCATCCTCCACTGCACTCCCTGGCCACAGCAGAGAGCTGGCCTGGAAGAGGGGCAACCGGGACAGAATCCGGCGCCCCGACCAGGACTAGAACCCGGTGTGCCGGCGCCGCAAGGCGGAGGATTAGCCTAGTGAGCCGCGACGCCGGCACCAGTCCTTGCTGTTGAAGTGAGAGGTCTCTCGGGATCAAAACTCTGCGTCTTCTGTATTATTCCACAACTCCTTCTTTGAAACCAATGAGACTTTACACACTGTAAAAACTGCTCACTTTTGCGGACTGACTTTTGCATGGACCATGGGCTCGTTTGGGGTTTACAGGTAGGGGTTTCTTGGCATCAGAACCCGAGGGTGAGTTTTGACCAGAGGCTTCACCTCTACAAGGAGAGTGGGAGGAGAGCGAGGCGTGGTGACGACCTTCTGACTACAGCCCTGCCAGGCTCTGGTCTCCGGAGTTTGTCTGAGAAAGGAAGAGGTGCTCCCCACGGATGAGGAGCGACTCCCCCAGAAGTAGCCTCGTGGCAGAGCTGTGCTGTGAGGACTTGGGCTTCTTGCCAGCCTATCTGGGGCACTGTGTTCTTGAGGATTTGGGCAGTATGAAGGAATTCATTCTCACGGGGCTGTTTCTAGGCCCCAGATCTGACTTTTAATTTGTAATGTAGCCCATCATTCTGGAAAACAATTGACATTACACTTACATATTCCACCATCTCCAGCCATCTACTGCGTATTCTTTTACATTTTTAAAGATTTCTTTCTTTCTTTCTTTCTTTCTTTCTTTCTTTCTTTCTTTCTTTCTTTCTTTCTTTCTTTCTTTCTTTCTTTCACAGGCAGAGTTAGAGAGAGAGAGAGAGAGAGAGAGGGAGAAAATCTTCCATCTGCTGGTTCACTCCTCAAATGACTACAACTGCTGGAGATGGACCAATCCAAAGCCCAGAGCCAGGAGTTTCTTCCAGGTCTCCCACCTGGGTGCAGGGACCCAAGCAGTTGGTCCATCTTCTGCTGCTTTCCCAGGCCATTAGCAGAGAGCTGGATCAGAGGAGGAGCAGCTGGGCCATGAACTGGCACCTGTATGGGATGCCGGTGTGACAGGCATAGGCTTAGCCAACTATGCCACCTCTCTGGCTCCTTCTTTTACATTTTAAAAGGAAGGGGAGGCTGTACATTGATGGTAGAGGTTAAGGCACTATTTGGGATACCTGTGTCCCATATTGGAGTGTCTGGGTTCAAACAGCAGGTCTGCTCCCAGTTCCAGCTTCCTGCTAATGGACACCCTGGGAGGCAGCAGGTGATGGCTTAAGTGGCTGAGTTCCTGCCACCCATGTGGGAGAACCAGATTGAATTTCTGGCTCTTGATTTGTGCCTGGCCCAGCCCATCTATTGCAGGCATCTGGGGAGTGATCCAATGGATGAGAGACCTCTATCTGTTTGTCTCTCTGTTGATGTCTCTCCTGCTTTAAAATGAATACAAATAAAGAAAAAAAGCAAAAAGGAAGAGGTTAAAAGCTGTATCTATCAGTGCTCCGGTGCCCAAGGAGGCAAGCTGGGGCCCCAGGTGTGTCTTTCTGAGCTCCAGCCTCAGGTCAGAAGACAGCAGCCTCATGGAGACTGTAATACCAGCCCTGCAACTGTGCCCAATTCAAGGTTTTGCAGCTAAGTCCTTATCACATGCACCTCTTAGCACTTCTGCGGCCACTGCCTGCAACCGGCTACAAAGACACAGACGGCCTGCATGGCTCCCTCCGCTTCTCCATTTTTATGTCTCTTAGTCTGCCCCAGCAAAGCTTCATGGCCTAGTGGAGAAACTAATTTCATACAAGTTCCTTTAAAAATACAATCCCTGTTGGACTTTAATTAAACACTGGATGTGTATGAGGAGTAGCTCTGTACACACAATCCAGCTACTGTCTTCCAGCAGCCTTTGCAGGAACAGATGTGGAATAATACAGAAGAAGCATACAATAGAATAATATAGAAGAAGTCATAAAAATTATGCTTTTTGGCCAGCGCCGCGGCTCACTAGGCTAATCCTCCGCCTTGCAGTGCCGGCACACCGGGTTCTAGTCCTGGTCGGGGCGCCGGATTCTGTCCCGGTTTCCCTTCTTCCAGGCCAGCTCTCTGCTGTGGCCAGGGAGTGCAGTGGAGGATGGCCCAAGTCCTTGGGCCCTGCACCCCATGGGAGACCAGGATAAGTACCTGGCTCCTGCCTTCGGATCAGCGCGGTGCGCTGGTTGCAGCGCGCCGGCCTCGGTGGCCATTGGAGGGTGAACCAACGGCAAAGAAAGACCTTTCTCTCTGTCTCTCTCTCTCACTGTCCACTCCTGCCTATCAAAAAAATAAAAAAAAATAAAAAAATTATGCTTTTTATAATTCAGTGTATACTTGTGAAAATGTGAACCTACTTGAATGGGCCGGTCTAGGGTATTCAGCAATTGCTCCAATGGCTTGGTAGTTGCCAAGGCTGCCACACATTTCCCAGAATTCCCTTCTCTGTGTTTGCAGGGAGAGTGGGAATCAACAGATGTCTTGGCTCCAGACTTGAAGGACAGAAGTGAGGCCCCTGCCCTATCACGGTCTCCTCTCAGAAGGGTGGGCAGGTGCCCCTGTGGCTCGCACACACTGTCACTGCTCTGCTGACTCCCGCTCTGGGTGCAGGCAGCAGGTGCACCTGCAGGTGTCCACTCCCCGTGAATCCTTCTTTGGCTTCTGATTCCTGGAACAGGTATATGTTTGGATCAGGGACAGAGGATTCCGGCTCTTCCCGGGGGACAAGCATGTCATCTTGGGGGGAGGCAGTGAGGACTGCTGCGGGCTGTACTCTTTCTGTGGGTCTCAGCCCACCTGTGCTCCCGCCTACTTTACCTCCATCTGCCCTTTGCAGCGGCTTTCCCTAGGCACTTCATGCTCTAGCATTAGACAAGAAGACGACAGCCTCATGGCGATGATTTAAGCAGCTCTTACAGCCACACAAGGTTACACTCTGTCACTAACACCTTATTACACACACTTGGTCAAGGATCCACTTCTCTGAATGCTGGCTGATATAATGGCCATGCAATGTACACCAGCTTCACAAACTCACTGAAAACTCAGGGCTTAAAAGTGAGACAAGTGATCTTGAGCAGTATTTGGACCAAAATGAGAAGCGGGGTACAGAGAGACTGTGGGCGGGGTGAGAGTCTCCTGGGTGCACAAAGAGCTACCCTCAGGGGAAGGAGGTGTGAACCAGTGCCCCCGTTTCCTGTACAGCACTGGGACATCCTTGGAGGTCATTCTGAAGACCCAGATCCTTCAGGGCAGCTGGACAAGAGGGTGCAGGCTGCTTTTTGATCAGCAGAGAAATCTAAGACCAGACCTGTGAAATTTTCTTGGTTTGTAAATTGAGACATCACAATTCACATGCAAGGAAAGATTGGAATGTGGATGCAGTAAGGCTAGGATTTTTCTCACTATTCCTCCCTCTTCCTTCCTTACCCTACTCCCCCACAAAAAAATTAAAAAGAAAAATAAAGAAGGAAAAGAGGAACGGAGAGGTGGGAGATTGTGTACCTGCCTCAAATATGAGTGTGGCGATCCTATGCCACGCCCCAGACGAGAGTGGAGAGACCTTGGTGAAGTTCAGAGACATGACAAGTCTTGCAAATGAGAGCCTGAGTGAAATGGACAACAGCCAAGTTGAGCATAAAAATAGAACTCGGGCCACACTCTGCAGCAGCCAGTCCGGGAAACAAACCCATCACCTCCAGTCACCGGGCCAGGACGTCAGCTGGCTTCGAATGCATCAGACAGACTTGTAGGAAGTCAAGCCACTATTTCTATCAACTGGCCCAGGAAGAGAAACAATAGCCCCTATAACAACTGACCCCAAGTGACCAGGGCTTGATTAATAACTGGCAGCTTCCTTAACTTTTGTCCCTGCGTACACGTTAGGCCTAACAAGAGAAAGCCAAATGTGCAGCCCTAACCTGTGAGTAGGACTTCATGCTTCTATGGGCCTGCCAGCAGCTTCCTCTTGCCAAGGGCTTCCAATCAGGGTATATCTGAAGACTGCCCCTGTCGCCACTATAAAGATTTCCCATCCTCTGCCTGTCCTTGAGTCTCTGTTATTTGGCAAGCAACATTGACTCACTTGCTGTAGCAAGCTCTGAATTCATGGCTTTTGCTGGCCCCCATTTGGTTGGTCTTCGTTTAACTTAATTCCACGTGGAGAAGTTTCTTGTGTTAGCACATTGCAGCAGTCCTAAGCTCAGCTGGTGGGTGGCCTGTCTGAGCCAGGGACGGGTTAGAGACAGCTTCCTGGGTTTCCCAGGGTGTATAGTAGCCCAGGAGGTAGTGTTGCCAGATAAAAGGCAGGCCATCCATTACCTCTGAATTTCACATTAATAAATATTTTTAGTATGAATATGTCCCATGCCTTATTTGGAACATACTTAGGCTAAAAATATTCATTATTTACCTGCAATTCGCATATAACCGGACTTCCTGTATTTTTATTTGCTAAATCTGGTAATCCCACAAGGAGCACAATAACTACCGTTCTCATGCCCCCCCGCCCCCGGGGCGACAGCACTGAGGGAAGTGCAGGGAGAGTCAGGGCTGGAAGGGGAAGCCTCAGCAGAGGTGACAGGGACCACCCCCCCAAGGACTGGATGACGGTGCATCTGATTCTCGATGGATTTCCACCATAGGGAAGGTGTGCCCAAGAGCCAAGAGACAAGATTGTTCTGAGATTCTGAGAGAGAGTCTCAGGCCAAGACACCTCTAAGTC